GTTGAACAGCAGTCCCCCAATAACACCTTCTGGGTGCGGCCCTCCAGAAATGACTGGAGCCACTGCAGAGCAATGCTCCCAAGACCCATTTCCGCAAGGCGCAAGAGCGAGAGTAAAAGGCCCTCAGTCACTCATGGCTCTCATGTAGGGCGGCAAGGAATATATCCTGCTTCTTCTCTCTACAAAGGAGACTTAAAGCAGCTTTACAACAACAAGAACAACAAGTAACACAATGGTTTATGTTCCTGGGTTATGAATGTCATTTCCTAATTGGTTCTATCATAAAAACATGGGGAAAGTTTATTATATTGCAAAAACTTTTTTTTTCTGCAGGAGGGACATCATCCTGCAGCAGATTTTGCTATAGTTTATCAATAGATGTCTCGTTGAGCTTCGACCATTTCAACATAGTTCATGCCACACACAAAAAACCACAACGTTTCTGGAGTAGAGCAACTCCTTTCAAAGTAAGGGGTACACAATTAAACAGGAAATAAGACTTTCAAACCAGGAACGGAAAGTTTTTCAAATGTGGATACATAGTGTAATAATACTGACCTCTTCGTACAGGTTGAGGCTGGACACGACATACTTAAACTACATCCATAAAAGCACATATTACTTACTTAATTACTTAGACGATCCCTCGTTGGCTGAGTAGGATAGTCTTCCAGGATCAGTCACCTACGGACCCACCAGTGCACTGATCCTGGAAGACTATCCTACTCAGACAACGAGGGATCGCCTAAGTGTGTACTACAAATCCAAAGATCCTATAGCATAGTCATAGCAATTAAAGCACAGAATAATAGGGTTGTTGTAGGCTTTTTTGGGCTATATGGCCATGTTCTAGAGGCATTTCTTCCTGATGTTTCGCCTGCATCTATGGCAAGCATCCTCAGAGGTAGTGAGGATAATAATAATAATAATAATTATTATTATTATTATTTATAAGGAGACTCAAAGCAGCTAGATGGAAATGCAGCCCAATACCACTCTAAGGGGCACGCCTCAATGTGACGGAGTGATGGGATTTGTAGTTTGGTGAGGCCCTAGCACCCTTTGGAAGAGAAAACTAAAGACCTTGCACATCAACTCCCAGCGTTCCATAGCAATTACAGTGGTGCTGTACTGCATCAAAAGGTAAGGACCATGCACAGCTACAACTCCCAGTGGTCCTGAGCTGCATCAGTTCTCCAGTGCAGATGCAGCCCTTTGCCTTCGGAGAGGATGTTTTGGCACCCAAGGGCCCTGTTTCAGGAGCCAAACCCAGAAACCGAGGCGTCCGCTTCTGTACCTCACACCAGTGGCGTCAAAGGGCTTTCCAAGGAATCCCTGGACAGATGCTTCCCGAGTCTTTCTGCATCCCAGAGTCACATGAAAGTCACATTGCAAGGCGGAAAATGGAGAAGGCGGGGAACCCAAGCACCCATCTGATCTCCTTCAGGGACATCAGAAGAGGCTTCACGCCAGCAGCCGGACGAGGAAAGCTGGCACGAAGCCTAGAATCCTGGAATTCGAAGGGACTCCCAAAGGCCATCTAGTCCAGCCCCCTTTGGCCAGGCAGGAAGGCACCGTCCAAGCCCTCCAAACAGATAGCCATTCAGCCTTTGCTTAAAAAACTTCAAGAAAAGCAAACTCCAATTCCACATTTCCTGAAAGTTGAATCCATGGCTGCATGAGAGCCCTAGTCTGTAAACAAGCTTCTTCTCTTTCCTTCTCCTCCTCTTTCTCCC